GGGGTAGAGGAACCACTCCAGCTCACTTCTGCCGCCTCCCCTGAGCGCCCCGCCACTTGGCTTCCCCTCCCAGCCTTGCTGTGCAAAACAGCTGTTTTGTGCGCGGCAAGCCTGGGAGGGAGGGGGGAGAAGCGGAGTGGCGGCGGCGCGCTCAGGGGAGCAGGCGGAGGCGAGCTGGGGCGGCGGGGGCACTTTTTTCCCATGCCCCGGAGTCAGCACCTATGATGGCCAGTGCCAGAATGCCACCCCTAGAAATGTGCCGCCCCAAGCACCTGCTTGTTTTGCTGGTGCCTGGAGCTGGCCCTGGGAGAGGGGATGGGAGCCAGACTAGATCAGTAGAACAGGTCAGCCACCAATTCGCCACTCGCCTCCTCAGCCCCCCTCCCCCGGCTCGCCTCCTCAGCCCCCGCCACTGCCCGCTCGCTCGCCTCCTCAACCCCACACCCCTCCGGCTTGCCGGCTCACCTGCCCCCTCCCCCGCCACTGCCCGCCCACTCGCCTCCTCAGCCCCCCCCCGCCACCGGCTCACCTGCTGCCCCCCGCCATTGCACACCCGCTCGCCTCCTCAGCCCCTCACTCCTCCGGCTCGCCTACTCACTCCCCGCCACTGCCCGCCCGCTCGCCTGCTCAGCCCCACTCCCTAACCCGCCGCTTGCCTACTCACCCCCCTGTGGGCCGCACAGTGAGCCCACCTACTCAACCCCCACGGGCCGCACAGTGAGCCCACGTGGGCCGCATGTTGTGCAGGCCTGCTGTAGCAGAACTAAACCTGTACACTAATCAGATTTGCATAACAGTGCTGTAAAAAGAACAGGACTAATTGTGGCACCTTAGAGACTAACAAATTTATTTCAGCATAAGCTTTCGTGGGCTGCAGCCCACTTCTTCGGATGCACTTTCTATAAAAATGTTTTTAGAGGTGCACTTAGTGATGAGGTGATGCAGTAATTTCTCCTCCCCAGGCCCGCAACTTAATCTTAGTCTGAAACAATCTGTTCCAGTCCGTGGTTGTTCTAACTGAAATTGTACAACAGTACCAAATTGTATGTTGTGTTTTTTTTTATAACGAGGATTTTAAAATTCAGTCTTTGGAAGCATAAGGCTAGGAACTAAAACAAACAAACAAAAACAAACCACCACCACCATCTACTGTCTCTTGTTAAGTTCTGGCCCAATTTAAGCTTACACTGTTTACTTTTATTTCTTAAAATATTTCACTGTGGCTACAACTGTGCAGTGCCACTGGCACTCAGAATGGTCGGGAGGGCTGCCTACATGAGCATTCCTACTGTTAGTGGAGCTGCATCAGTGGGAGGGTGTGGCTGAAATACTACTGTAAAGAAGGCTGAGCGTAAGAGGGTTGAATGTTTTCAGGCACCATTACAGCCACACATAGTTGTGACACAGCAATAATTCATACTCGCTGTGGTTTTGGCAGCATTAGGAAAAATTTGCTGGGCAGAAACAGTCCCTAATACAACTGGGTTTTTTGTTTATCCACAACAGAGAGTCATATTTTAAAATTGTTTTCAAGCATACTTGGCCTGTGTTTGTGGATAGAAAATAATGTTATCCATGTGAAGGGACTATGGTTTAGCCTTGTTCCTGGACGTTTTTTTTTTAACTCACAAAGGCCTTGTCTAAAACTTTTTCAACCATTGCTGACAGCATTTCAGCTGTAGTAACATTAGTAAGGTTGGGAGCCCTAGCTCTCTGGCTCGGACATCTGTTTTCAGTAGCACGCCAGTTAAACTTGCTCAGAGCAGGTTTAACTGTTGCGCTCCTGAAAGTGGCTGCTGGAGTAGCGCAGTCACCTGCACTAGGACTTTCTATGTGCACATCAGCCAATGGCAAGAAGAGTCAATGCTAGAACACAATTGGGCCACAATCACGTTTCACAGCTTTATTGTAAAAATGGGGATTTCTGTAGTGCATCGTATCAGGGGGTAGCCGTGTTAGTCTGTATCTACAAAAACAACAAGGAGTCTGGTGGCACCTTAAAGACTAACAGATATATTTGGGCATAAGCTTTCGTGGGTAAAAACCTCACTTCTTCAGATGCATCTGAAGAAGTGAGGTTTTTACCCACGAAAGCTTATGCCCAAATAAAGTCTGTTAGTCTTTAAGGTACCATCAGACTCCTTGTTGTTTTTGTAGTGCATACAGGGCCTTAAAATACTCTTGTAACTATCAGTCTTACCCATGTACCAAATTAACCACAGTGCATACTTCTTGCTTATGCTAGTAAGTTGTCCTATGGAGGTGTGAGGTGAGAGGATACAGAGCTGACCACTGGCTTGAAAAGTTGTGATATGAACAGTTGTTTGCTGCACACTGGCCTAGTTTGTGGGGGAAAAAATTGCAGAGATCAAAAAAGTGAGGTTTTAAGGAGGTGTCTTCATTAGAAGAATAGCAAGAAATGTAGTTCACAGATACTTACGGTTATGTTTTTTTTGTAAGGTGCTGAATGTCCTAAAGAGCAATGAGAAGAGAAATATTAGATTTAAGATTAAGTCATTTGGATACAAAATGCCTCTCTCACATTGGCTGTTTGGGACATTTTGTGCACTTTTAGCCTATTCAAAATAAAACCAGGTCGCTTTTCAGCATAGTAAAATGAGGAAAAGTGATTTTACAAAAATGGCACTTTTAATCAACAGATCTGCTTCCTGTACACATGCAATCATGTCTTCTGATTTTGTCTAAAATGTGGTTCTTTTTTGTTGCGTATTTTTGCTACTATTAATTCTACTGCAAAGTCAACACAGAGATGTGGGAGAGAACCTGGAATATTTATAACATAGGGTATGTCTATACATACAGCTGCAGCGCATGTGGTGAAGACGCTCTCTGCCAATGGGAGAGCTCTCCCATCCGCATAGGAAAACCCACCACCGTGAGCAGCATAAGTTATGTCTGTGGGAAAACCGCTCCCGCTGACATAATGCTGTGCACGCAAACGCTTATGTTGCTCTGACTTATGTCGCTTGCAGGGTGGAATATTCACACCCCTAAGCGACACAAGTTTTGCTGATGCAGACTGTAGTGTAGACATAGCCTAAGTTTCAGTTGCATAATCTTTTAGCCAGGGTGATCCACAAGCCAGAAAGAACTCTGCTTGACTGTCAGATCCCTGGTTGTCAAGATGCAGTTTCAGAAATGTTCTTTCTAGTGAGCTGAGAAAATTTAATCCACAAATGGAGATGATAAACATGGAACCCCACCAAACCATCATTGGAGTTCTTATAGGGCCACAAAGCATAGCGCTGTAACTCTTTAACTGTTTGTTTCTGTTTTGAAAAAAACGCTATAGAGTATTCGAGTAATCAATCTGTCCATAATATCAAGACCTAAGGGAGAGAAAATGTGATTCCCAATGGTATTTTATAGAGCACTCTGTATTTTGGGTGATGCTTCGGGTCACTGTTTCTCAGTTTGATGCTTAGAAGGGAAAGGGTGTGAAACCCCTTTTTCTGATGTGGCTTCCCCAGCCCTTTACAAAGACTTTGTCACTCCAGTGACTTGCCATCCAGACTGGGGCCCTCATTGTTAGCTTTTAAATTGTCTTTGAAAATAATTAACATTTTTCACATTTGAAATGAAAGGCAGAACTCTGTATTTCTTTTGCCAGATTTAGCTCGTCAGATATACTGGCAGTGTCTGTCAGTTTTCCATTTCTAATAGGAGCAGAATACAGGGCTGTATTAATACAGCCTGAAAAAAGCACACGCCTTTAAAACAAACAAATATCAAAACCACTATCAAGTCTATTTCAAGATGGGTCATTTAAGTGGAAGTACAGCACACTGCACTAGTCGAGGGAGTGTGGCCCTCTCACACCAACTCTTTTGGAGGTTTCATTTGTGCTGAGGACTGCTGTGCATTTTCAAACATCAGGTTGCAGGAGATGACTTGTATCTACGTGTGGCAAAATAGCAAGTAGCTTTGTCAAAGGAAGTGGTCGTTCATAACTTATTAAAAAATAAATGCATTTCAGAATGATTGTTTCTGTGCTTCACGTTTCCCATTAGATTAGCATTAGCTGTGGTTTTTATTTTTACATCAACTAAGTATATTTGTCACTTCATTGTGAAGTCAAAATTGAGTTCATGCCTATTCAAGAGCTTTATAGTTCTGCCAGTGGTAATGGGCACTTAACTTCATATTCACTCTTGTCTTGAATAAAAACTCTTCCAGCCCCATAATTAGCATTTTGTGATGTCTACCTCGCTTCTCACAATATTGCAGTCTTTCATGCTTTCTGTAACACTGTCTTTAATTTATAGGAACGTCAATCTAGAATCCAGGCAGGTGCTGCTTCAGTAAAAGTAAAAACTGCCTCGTTAAACACTAATGTAAAAGAATTGGGGGTCTATTGTCTTCTGATTCTTGTCTCATTGCAGGTGGGTCTGTGAAGAAATCCCAGATCTCAAGCTTGCCATGGAAAATTATGTTTTAATTGACTATGATACAAAAAGGTGAGAGGAACCCTCCCTTCCCCAGAAGGGCAGGCCTAAATGGCTTGTTGTGAATTGGTCTAAGAATAACTAATTACAGACACTGCAAACTGAGCTGAAGTTTTCTTTTAGAACTGGCTTCAGACTCTACAAAGTTATTTTGGTGGGAAATGTGTAACAGGAGTATTGGCAACGGCTGTTGGATTTAAGGACATAATTGGAAACTTCACATAGCAGAAAGCTGAGCTGGTGCACGTTGGAATTACTCACCCTGAAACAATGATCTGTATCTATGCTGTTGGGCTAAAGCCAGCGTTAGGAATCTGAATGGCATTGAAGTTTCTGCTTTTGTAGTAACTAAGACTTCTTGTTGGAAAACACTATGCCAGAGCTGCCCATGGCACCACTGATTTTCTCTCCATGTTTGTGGAAGGTTAACTTTCCCCACTCCTCTCCTATTCAGAATCAAATACGAGTGGTGACACTATAAAAACAGAGTTTCAGCTCAAACTGTTCCTACAGCCTCTGTCTCTGGAGAAGCAGGAGCAGTGCCCGATTCACAGAACTATGTGAAAACACCTACTACATGGACTGGCTTGACAGGGATGTGTTGGAGTCTGCTCTGTGGGTAGAGATTGGGAGGGACCGAATCTAACCCTATGGAATTCTTTCGTTTGTAATAAGTTCATTTTTGGCTCAGTTTGACTGCACTAACTGAGAATGGAAATAGAGATGACACTTGCCTGCAGCTAAGTTGTGGTTTATGAAAATCCATGGAATTTCTTTTATGGAAAAGATCAAAGTTCACCGGTGTCCACAAAGTGATCATGTCTCCTGATAGGGATTGAGACAGGTGAAACGGAATCAGGTCCTAATTCAGCATTAACTGTTTGAGCACCTGAATGGCTTTTGCAATATAAAAGGACCGCTCTTTGGTGTTCTATTATTCCTTTTATTTTATATGTTTTCATCCTACTCGGCCCTCCAGCCTCCCAGGGAATTAAATAGGAGTAGTGAGAGCTCAGTACCTCTTAACGTCAGGTCTGTGGTTTATATGCTGATATTCTAATACAATAATTTTGTGGTACTGGTGGGGTTTGTGTAGGTGTGCAGCCTCACTTTTTGTCAGCAATGATACTGAATAAAAGAAGAAACCATCTATCCTCAACCACACCTCACTTATTTCTCAGAAGCTGTTCAAAGAAGCCATAAACCTGTCATTCTGGTAATAGTTTAATCAGTTTATTTTCCTTGGGGGGGAAAAAAAGAATTATTTGAAAAATTAATCCTAGAAGATTGGCTGCAGTGCTGCAAATGCAGAGAATGGGAATGAAAACCAGCGTATTATGGAAACACAAATATACACTCATAAATAATACTTTTCAGTCTCGCCTGTTTTTATTAACATGGAATTAAAAACTGTCAATTGGCAGCCCAAAGTGAGTGCAAAGTAACAGTGTTCTCAAATAAGGAGTCATAGCTAGTTGTGGTAGTGAAGTCAAGTTAATGAGAAGTTAACTTCCTTCCCTTCTCCTCTGTTTTTCCTCCTCCCTTCCTGTCTTGGGGTTGCTGTGGGATATGTTACTCCAATTACCCTGTGGACTGGCTTTTCTGCTGCTGCTTTCTGGACTCTAGTTATTTAATGACAGTGGGACTGGCAGATATCCTTCCCCCCCCTTGACCCGAAATGATTCTGTAATTCTCTCAGCCTCTGCAATTAAGGTGCCTGGCTAAACTGTGAACCCAGCTAACCCACAGAACAAGCAGTATGCTTCCCTTGTAAAGCAGGTGTCTGGAGGATGAGGTTTATACTGTGAAGGAGTTGTATTACATGGCACACTGCGTGTTAGAACAGAATAGAACTGAGCTCTGGATAAGTGTCTGACTATCTTCATAGCTGGATATGGTGGACACAGGAAGGAACAAAGCAGAGCACATTAAAAGTGTAGTGCCTTAAACTTTTTTTGCATGTAGGGAAGTGGGAGGAAGCTAAGAGGGCCCATGGGAATTTCCAGCTTGAATTCCTGATAGGTCAGAAAGGAAAAACTTAAGGTAACGTCAAGTTATCTCCATAACTTAATTTTCCCCACTAATTACAATCTTTGGAAGTTGAACGTTGAAATCCGTTTCCTTAGAAGAACTCTTCTTCTATCACCTGGATACCATGTGTAGAATTTCTCATGAATCATTGGGCTGCTAAAGTCTCTTTAAGGAAACTTTGTAAAAGTGTAAAATTGTGTAAAGAATTAATGATCGTTGCAAAAAGAATTACAGCTACAGTATGTACACTTTAAAAAATGTAGGTCAAATGTTGTGTCTACCAACCTTGGCAGTGTTCCTTTAATGTGCATAGCTGAGCATTTCAAGACCACCTTTAGACTGTTAACTGACTAGCGAACTTTGCTTTTTTCCCTTTCCCAGCTTTGAAAGCATGCAGAGGCTTTGTGACAAATACAACCGTGCCATTGATAGCATTCATCAGTTGGTAAGTATTTACCTTTGTTATGCCGTGATGCCTATCTAGTTGGCTTTATTCAGGCTAGTGGTTTCAAATTCATGTACAGAAAATGACAACCAAGAAGGGCTGACTTTTTTCGCGCTCAGTTGTGTGTTTGCTTAAACACCAGCACCACCATTACAGCATTTCCATTCATTCGGGAGTTAATAAATCATCTATTAAACCTTGCTTTCTGGGCCAAAACTTGGCACTTGAGGATTTAGCCTTGGAGTGAATTTATATCTTTATATAATAATGACTTAATTTTTCTAAAATACAGGTTTGCAGCCTCTTAGTCCCTAATGTGCAGTTGGCACTCCTGCTTGGACGTTTGAAATAGCTGAGTTACCTTTGAAAAAGGGTTTCTTTGCATGCACCGTACCTAGCTTTTTCATCAGAAATTTCACAGGGATTTAATGTATGCACGTTTCCTCGTGTGTGTTTGTGTGGGGATTGAGACTTAAAGGTTCCTTAATAGTCCAGATTAACTCTCTTGTGTATCGTGGCGATGATCCATAGATTAAGAATTCCCTTACTGTTCAGTAAAGCTATATTTTAGAGCTGAGCTGTTCTGTTCCAAAGGATCAATCACTGTGAAGGAAGAACTGGAATGAAATCTAATTTAATAGATTTCTAATAGGTAACTTTTTTGGTTTTCTTACCCAAGTTTAAGGCTGGTAATGAAACATAGTAAGTATAATCTAATATTAAGAATTTTACTTAATTTATGGAATTTAGATACCAGTTCTGTCAGTAGTGGGTGAAAACCTTATCTACTATCTGTCACTGTACTTAACACGTATCCAATTTAATACTACATCTTATTCTATAAAAAACACAATGTAGGGGCCTTATGAAGTACTTTGACCTATCAAACACATGTTGGGGGCTGTAATCTGATTTTATAGGAGCATTCAAAATAAATCTCAGAAAGATATGGCCAGTAGGTTAGAACTTCTCCCAGACTTTGCACCACATTGGCATCCACATATCGTTTGCCTGATTCATAGATGCTGGCCACTTTAATCTCGTCTTTGTTAATAGCTTAAAAAGTTGGAATTCTTCAGCATTTACAGTCACTCACTGAAGTGAGAATCTAGTCAGTTTCACCTCTGTCCTGCCAGTGCCCTGCTTGAATGTAGGAGCCCAGGCTAGCTGACATAAGGAGCAGAAATAGTGATTGGCCTCTGAGGTAGCTGCCCTGAGCCCTCAAACAGAGGATCAGATAGGAAAGAGGTGACTATCAGGAAAAGGAGATGGAAAAGATGCCCAGAAAAAAGCTTACAGACATGTATAAAATCCAAAGAGGGAAGATGAGGAAGTTCAGAAACATCAATAGCTTCTATTTAGTAGTGAGATTGTTAGCCAGCAGAAGCTTAGATTTTCTCTCCCACTCCCTCTGAGTGTGATTCCTCCCATGCTACACTTCATGGCAAGGAAACAAACCCCCCTTTATGTTGATGGTGCAATGAAATGCAGTAGTTACATCAAGGATGTAGGCAGATCTTAGATGCTTTTTCCCTCTTGTATCTGGTATGCAGTCTTTGAAAATACCTATTGTGTGAGGTGACACAGACAGTAAAGCAAACCAACCTCCCCACGCTGCATTGCTGCAGAAGTTCTTTAGCATGTCTTGCTGTTGCTTATGGAAGAACTGGAGATCACTTTTACTCCTGCAAGAGAAGGGGTGGAGGAAAGTGGATTGTCTTTGTGTCAGTCTCCCTTCCCCCCACAAATGCAGGTATGTCATGATGTATTTTCCTTGTTTACATTCTTTCTGCTCCTCACCCTTAGTGGAAAGGAACCACCCAGCCCATGAAATTGAACACTCGTCCCTCCAATGGGCTCCTCCGTCACATCTTGCAGCAAGTATATAACCACTCGGTGACTGACCCAGAGAAACTCAACAACTATGAGCCCTTTTCCCCAGAGGTGTATGGAGAGACTTCCTTTGATTTAGTGGCCCAAATGATTGATGAGATTAAAATGACTGAGGATGACTTGTTTGTTGACTTGGGCAGTGGTAAGTGACAAACTGCTTTGTTTTCCCTTTTCTGTCTCTGCCCAGGCTTTTTCCTCCTCTGAATAAAAAATGTCAGTAACTTTACATTTGGAAAGTAATCCATCCCCACAGACTGTGCGCGTCTGGCTGTGCACTCCTGACAGATCAGTGCTTTCTTTCCTGTATTGCCAGTGGGATGTGGCACCAAATATGTCATTCACCCATGTGAAGAAAGGATTGATTCTTCAGGAAACTTAATTTAAGAATACTCCATTTTTGCCACCATCGATAAATGTAGCCATTTTAAAGTATGGTTGGCATCCGAAATGACGGTGTAAAAGTGCCATTAACAGAGTCCATATTTTATGCTTTCTGGCTTCTAGATCCAGTTTGTTCAGTTCATGCATCAGACTTTTTTTCCCGTGAGTGTCAAAACTGCAAACTCCACCTGTTAACTGAAAATAAAGTGGGTTCTTTCTCTGTCTGACACAATCACCAGCAATAAAAATTTTATATTTATTGTGAAGCCATATAGAATTCAGCTCACGCTTCCATACTGCATCTGTGCTACAGTTACCAGTTTTAACAAAAGTAAAAATCTTGCTTTCTCGACAGTCATCCTTTATCCCACCAAAGGAAACGGGAACCTGCCCACTGAAAATACAGTAGAATTACTAATCTTACCTCCATTTTATATCTACTAAATGAAATTCCAAGTTAAGGGTTTTAAAGCAGGCCACTCACAGGGGACAGAATTTATCCCTCCCCTCCTTTCCCTCCAGCTCTGGTAACTATATTTTGTGTGTCCAGTTAAGTACAATATGAGACACTTCTAAAATGCTGTTTAGTCAGGCATCCAGTCTGCCCCGGCCATGAAATTGTTTGTTCACTAAGGTCATAATAAGAGATCATATCTGGAAGTCTCACAATCTTGTTGCCTAACAAGATGGAGGAATGTGTGATCTGACTAATGCTTCTGAGTAAAATGTTTTGTTTTCCTTGGCCTCTAATACCACCAAAAACAAAACCAGATATTTATCACCGTAGAACCCCAAACCTTAATATTGGACTAAGACCAAGCATATGAAAAATAAGAACTTGTATTAGTATCTGAAAACAATGGTTTAGCATGCAATAGCCTCAACCATAATTCTGTGATCATTTGTATGTGCACTGATTTTCAGTTGGTGGGTGCACTGAAAAAAACGGTTACTCATCTTCTCATAAATGTTGTTCTTCGAGATGTGGTATTCACGTCCATTCCAATCCAGCTCCCGTTGGGTTGGCTGTGGAGCCCCCTGGAGTGGCGCCTTCATGATGCTCAGTATATAACCCAACCGACCGGACTGGAGTACCGCTCTGCCGGATGTTGCAAAATCTTTGGAATGCTGGATTATAGCATAGTGAGTGGTTAAACATCTGCAGAGCGGCAACCTGGTCGTCGGTGCATATCTCCTGAATGGGAATCTGGGCCAGGAAGATTTCTGACGAGGCTTGTGCCCTTGTGGAGTGTCCATAATAGATTGGGCTGGGACCTTAGTCAGCTTGTAGCATGTGCGGATGCAGTCCGTGATCCAGGAAGAAATGCGTTGGGAAGAGACCCTTCATCCGGTCTGCCGCGGCCATGAACAGCTGATTCGATTTCCTGAAAAGCTTAGTGTGCTCGATGTAGAATGCTAGTGCTATAATGTGCTCCCGAGGAACTCCTCCAGTGCCCCTATGGTGAGGAGTGATGGCACCTCCTGGATAAGGAGTTGTTCATGAGAGGGGTCCTGAAGGGTTTGCTGCACTACTAACTACAAAAAGAACAGGAGTACTTCGGATGCATCCGAAGAAGTGGGCAGTAGCCCACGAAAGCTTACGCTCTCATAAATTGGTTAGTCTCTAAGGTGCCACAAGTACTCCTGTTCTTTTTGCGGATACAGACTAACACGGCTGCTACTCTGTAACTACTAACTGAAACCTAGACTAAAACTACAGGCTAAAGAAGAAAACTAAGGGAAGCACTTGCAAGGCAAGTGAATGCCGTTCCAATGGATGGCATTGACGGTAAGAAGTAACTGAAGCGGGATCCATGTAGGCAGGGTTATATATTGAGCGCCATGAAGGCACCACGCCAGGAGGCTCCACAGCCGACCCGACGGGAGCTGCTAAGGGAAAACTTTCTGACGACTGTGCACGCGGCGCGCACACGTGATTGGAGTCGACGTGTACAAGCACCCGAAGAAGAAGAAGAAAATTCTGGATTTTTTCCTCCCTAACTCTTGTTAACACCAATGAAAGTTTGCACATTGATGGCAGAATTGAGACTGAATTTCCATATTATTCTAGGCAACGCAGTATAGTGTACGAAGTACATTAGAATACCATTATAGCAGTAGCACAATATCCAACCACTTTAGTGCCTTTCCTACACCTCTATGTATAGGAATCATTCATCTGCCACACAGTGTAACAACCGCTGGTGAAATGTGGCAGCCATTTTTTTATCAGTAACTCTGTCCAACCATTTAAGGCTAGAAGCCAACAATATTAGATCTGGTTGAAATGGAATTTTAGGAAGGCAGAACATAGTTATGCAAAATGGAATTAGGACAACTGTTGCAAAAAAGTGGTATCTTTAACCACAAGTGGTCTCTGAAGAGAGAAGGGCAGCAATGACTTCTAATATTTATTTGGCCCATGTAAATGTATATAGTTTTTACTGCTTCCCTCATCCTCCCCCATTCTGTTTGTTACTCAATAGTTGCATCTTCTTATTCATATTTTACTCTATTTATACAGTACGTAGCAAAATGGGGCCCAGAATCTGATTGGGGCTTCTAGGTGCTACCATAATACAATTATTTATTATACAGGACTATCAGCATGTGGTTCCTCGTTATACCAAAGTGGGTATTGTATCCATAACGATTTAATGGCAAGAGCACCACCTCTTCAATTACTAGTGCTACTTCCTGCAGGCAATCGATGAAATGGAAAACGACAATGTGTTTTCTGTGCAAATGTGCTTGGCTTGAATATTTGTTTCCCTTATGCTCATCTATGATTCTATGAGAAGTGCATTAGTGAGACAATGCATTTTACATTAGTCCAGTACAAAGAGTGATAAACTTGGTATTAGAATGAATATAGACATAGTTTGATCGGCAGTTGTAATCAATTGAAGTAAGAAATATAGAATGATTGCAACAGCTTATAAAGATTTACCATGTACTTGGCAAAATCTGGGTCAGGTGTGCAAGCAGAGATTTAGCTGTGATTCCTCTTCCCCCTCCCCAAGCCAAAGAGATGTAATGCGTGCAGACAAGGTGTGGGAATGGCAGCTAATTACTGCTGGAGCAGTCTCTGATGCAAACATAATTGAGGCTGAATGATGGGAAGTTCATACATTTTTAAGTAATGTTTTGTCTTGCAGTTTAGCAATTGCTTCTGAAATTACTTTGCGTATTGATCATTATCTTTTTTTATTGTACTAGGAAATAATACTCCTGTCTTGTGTATTAGCATTTTTTTCCCAATGTGCTGAGACTTTTGTATGTGTTTTCCGTCATGAGGAAAATGAGGTATACATGTTTTGTTATAGCTCTCTCCATTATGCTGAGAGATTTAAACTGCAAAATTTATCTTGCTGCTGTTCGGTTTTCTTGCAGAAACAAAACACATCCATATTTACTTCCTGTAGGACATAAGTCTTTTTAGTGGAAAATAGGCTCCGGTATTGACGTGTAACTGTTTTGAAGTTGGAACTCTTTTTTGTAATGTAAATTGTCATACGTTTATCAGTCAATGTGCTATATTATTTCATAGAATCATAGAATAACAGGGTTGGAAGGGACCTCAGGAGGTCATCTAGTCCAACCCCCTGCTCAAAGCAGGACCAATTCCCAACTAAATCATCCCAGCCAGGGCTTTGTCAAGCCTGACCTTAAAAACCTTTAAGGAAGGAGATTCCACCACCTCCCTAGGGAACCCATTCCAGTGCTTCACCACCCTCCTAGTGAAAAAGTTTATCCTAATATCCAACATAAACCTCACCCACTCCAACTTGAGACCATTGCTTCTTGTTCTGTCATCTGCTACCACTGAGAACAGTCTAGATCCATCTTCTTTGGAACCCCCTTTCAGGTAGTTGAAAGCAGCTATCAAATCCCCCCTCATTCTTCTCTTCTGTAGACTAAACAATCCCAGTTCCCTCAGCCTCTCCTCATAAGTCATGTGCTCCAGACCCCTAATAATTTTTGTTGCCCTCCACTGGACTCTTTCCAATTTTTCCACATCCTTCTTGTAGTGTGGGGCCCAAAACTGGACACAGTACTCCAGATGAGGCCTCACCAATGTCGAATAGGGGGGAATGATCACGTCCCTCGATCTGCTGGCAATGCCCCTACTTATACAGCCCAAAATGCCGTTAGCCTTCTTGGCAACAAGGGCACACTGTCGACTCATATCCAGCTTCTCGTCCACTGTAACCCCTAGGTCCTTTTCTGCAGAAATGCTGCCTAGCCATTCAGTCCGTAGTCTGTAGCAGTGCATGGGATTCTTCCATCCTAAGTGCAGGACTCAGCACTTGTCCTTATTTGTATTATGGGAGTGGCTATTGTGCTAGGTACTGTACATTCTTATAGAAAGAGACAGTCCCTGCCCTGAAATGCTTAGTCTGAATAGATGAGACAAAAGATGAGAGGGAGAGATGCATTATTCACACTTTTTGGGTGGGGAATTGACACAGATGTTGTGCAAAGTCGCATAGGAATCCTTGCGTACATCTTGGTCTTTGTTTTAGAAGCAGTTTTGTGTGTATAGGGGGGCTTTTTTTACTCTGTCTCTTTCTCTACCTACAGGTGTGGGTCAGGTCGTGCTTCAAGTTGCTGCTGCCACAAACTGCAAACATCACTATGGTGTGGAGAAAGCTGATATTCCGGCCAAATATGCTGAGGTGAGTTACATCTCTGGGAGTATGAGATTGAAGGTGTTTGATTCCAGAGCTGGTTCAATCTCTTATGTCTTGCAGGTAACCGCTATGCATTGCAAAGCGGGAATCCTGAGTTTGAATCCTAGACACTCTGGCTCCTTAAGTCTGTAAGGGCTGGAAGCACAGCAGTGATGCAAATGATAAGGGTGTTTTGTGCTTCCTGTTGCTCATTGGCAGTGCTTACCGAGTGATCAGAAATATCATTAACTGGTCTCTGAAGAGAGCTTAGTTCAGGCCTGAGAGAAAACCAGGCGGAGTGAGGCTGCGTGGTGATGGGAAGCTTATACAAAGGGTACGTCTATACTTACTTCCGGGTCCGGTGGTAAGCAATCGATCTTCTGGGATCGATTTATCGCATCTTGTCTAGAGGTGATAAATTGATCCCGGAAGTGCTCGCCGTCGACGCCAGTACTCCTGCTCTGCGAGAGGAGTACGTGCAGTCGACGGGGGAGCCTGCCTGCCGCGTCTGGACCTGCGGTAAGTTCGAACTAAGGTACTTCGACTTCAGCTACGTATCTTAGTTCGAAGTGGGGGGTTAGTGTGGACCAGCCCAAAGGGAACAAAAGTCAAAAGGGAAGATGCAGGTTTAATCTAGACGCCGTACTGCCTAAGGTGTGGATTTCAGGACCCTACTCGGGTCTGGAATGGGACTTTGAAGAGGCTGTTTCCCAGAGGCTATTGCTGTGTAGGGTTGAACGCATCTAGGAAGGAGTTGAGCAAGATCAGAGTAGTGGGAGACAGAATAGCTGAAACTCGTAATCTTTTAAAAAAAAAAAGCTGAAATCCGGATCACGCTAAGAATGTCCTTTAGCAGCCCTAACTCTTAAACCATTGAGCTTAGCTATTAAAAATGTTAATATAGCTGGAGCTGCAGAGTAACTGAGACCTATCGATTGCTCTGGAGTATTCAGTTAATAGCAATGCTCAGTATGTACCCAAATGAAGTGCTTACGACGACGTCTCATAATAAGGCCATTGTACTTAGGCAAGTAGTTTTCTTTACACTTCTGTTAATTCTGTGTCAATGGGGACTTGCAAAGTTAATCAATTCCAAGGGAAACCTGGAACCCGAATGAGTTGCGAGCAAACAATAAAAGTCGGTCAAGCCTTGCATTAAGAATTTTGTGCTTCCTCCAGTAGGTTGCACAGAGCTTCATGCCTTTAACTCCTTGTTCCAACTAATGGACTTTGGTCTGTTTCAAATACAAACTTTAGCTTCTTAAAGCATGTGTACATAAGCGTTAGAGCTCCCTTTTCAAGGGTACAGGTCAAAGGCTCTGATGCTATCATGAGTGCCATAGAAGGGCCTAGGAAATAATTTGTCCTTACTCTTCATAGTAATCCCTTGGAAATGTCAAGCTGGAACACTTTTACCAAATCTTTCTCCCTTACCTCTTTGCATGAGCATTCTGGCTTATTTTAGAGCAGCTCACAAGGGCTAGGTTCCTGGCTCTTTATTTAGTAATAATCACTATTTAAAAACCACTTACTTGTGAGAGAAAATACATATGGGGTCAGAGCTTTGTTTATACCAAGGCCCTTGTACACCGCTCCAGCAGTACCTACGTTAGGGACCATTTACGCAGAGCCGTGTGAAGGGGCCGTACTGTAAATAACAAGCAGGCAATAAAGAATTACATGAACTTTGCAAGTGCATGAAGAGAATATAAATTGTTAGGAGTACTAATCCTGATGGGGTCCCTTTTTAATAATGCCCTGTCCAGTATTTTATGACTTTACTGGGTGAATAAAGTATATAGGGTGACCAGATAGCAAGTATGAAAAAATCAGGCCACAGTGTGGGTGGTAATAGGCACCTATATAAGAAAAATCTCAAAATATTGGGACTGTCCCTATAAAATCGGGACATCTGGTCACCCGAAAAGTATTCCATGTTATCCTTGCACTAATAAATGGCTGTCCATTAGATTATCGACTTAACAACTGCTGCAATTTAAGAATGTGTGAGTCTACCCTTAAATAGCCTGCCTATCTGCTTCTTGCTGCATTTAGATTTGCTCACTTTTTTTCTCAACAGATGTTTTGTGTCAGGGATTGTATTGAGCTTGTAGTTGAATTTGTCCATAGTAACATTTCTCTGGCCTACTGCATCACTTTATGCAGTTTTTAAGCTTACAGTTAAATGGGGGGGGGGGGGGAGGAACCTAAGTTTCTAGTCTGTGGTTTTGTAGAAAATCTTCCAAAATGTGAATTGATGTTTCACTGTCTTTTGGCTCTGAAGATTGAAACAATATTTCTGAGTGGTGTGAACTGTCTTGTTGTTAACTGGGTGTGTTAACTCTGAAGCCTAATGGGAATACAGATGTCAGCACAAAACATCAGAAACCTCCAATTGATCTGAGACTGTAAGTGGAGTTTGGGATGGTGGATGAAACTTGAATACCATTTCTTTCCTCCCAGTCTGAGCCCTGAATATGTGGACCCAATTTTGCAGTTACAGTAGGTCATAAATTGTGACACTTGCTTGCTATTCCCAGTACACGTCCATTTTAGTTTTAAATGGGGTGAATAGGTATAACTTACCCTCACTGCCACAGTGTAGAAGCACCATGTCCTCTATACCCACAATTTATAGGAAGGGATAAGATTTCAGACAAGTAGTGGTGCTGCTTCTCATTAGTCCCAGACTGTCTGGATGTGAAGGATTTTCAGCTCCTGTGTCTGGCAATGGAAACCCACTGCCAACTAGTTGGGTTTGAACCACAGGTGCCTGCCATCCTATGTAACCTTAGTCTCTTTAGTCATAGATCGAAGAATACCCCCCAGCTGCTGGCAGTGTGTTGCAAGGCAACTGCAATAGCAACTGAAAGAAGCACGCCTACTTCTGCTTTCTCGTTTGCCCTAGCAGACCTGTCTTTACCCCCCTTCGCTATCTGGGCTCCGGTAGGACTATGTTCCTTGCCTTCTGCTTGCTCTGGGATTATGCAGCAACAGTTGCACCATCCTTGGCAGACTACTGAGCAGTGTCAACTCCAAGTGTCTTTAAGGCTTCCCTGGAGAGGGGAGAAGAGAGTAAGTCAGCCTTGATCCCTTGGCTGCGGTGAAGTAAAGGAGTTTCCCCATGGGAACTAGAAGGGTAGCCCTTCAGTATGTGTCTCTGTGATTTTTCAGCAGTCCCATTCATGTGTTAATGGCAAAGAACTCTTACAGGCCCGTGAGTATTGTCAGAGTTGCCTCTTCTCCTCTTACTATCCTATAACTGGTATTGCAAGATGTCCTAATGGGTGGTTTTGTTTTTCCTCCCTCTTCTAGACGATGGACAGAGAGTTCAGAAAGTGGATGAAATGGTATGGGAAAAAACATGCAGAATACACAGTGAGTGAAACTCAGCTGAAAATCTTTGTGCTCCACTAATTATTACTGATGTTCAGAATTTACAGGTCCCTCTCCTTCCCTTCCCCAGCCAGGAAGCAGCTTCCCCTGGCCTTTATCTCGCTGCTGAGCAATGCTCTCTAAAATACATCCTCCCAGAGCCCTCCTCTTGACTCGCTTGACATTTGGTGTGTGTTATTGGGAATGTTATTGAGGCTTGCGGAAATTCTGGGAAGACTGTCTTATAAACTCTCATTACTCAGGCTGTTTTCTGCTCCCACGTTCAGACATTGTTAAGAAAATTGCTCCATGATTAGCCATTTACCTGTGAGGAATTCATGTAATCCTGTTCTCTGGTGGCTCTCTCAGAACCCTGAGAATACCCCTGCTTGTTTGTGTCTTTATCCCAATCTCCCCTTTAAAAAAAAAAAGATTGTTTCAGGTCCCATAGCTGCCATGCTTCTAGTCAAGGAGGGTTGAGTTGGGTCAGTGTTGTTCCCTAATCATTCCAAGGAATTGTCATTGCGTGATTCAAGGGAATCTTCCCTTCTCTGAGATTTCAGCTAGCTACCGCTTCAGCACTCCTAGCCTGGGAGCAATTGACCAGGAAACAGATCATGGTCTCTAATGTGATTTTTGCACAGAGCTCTACGGCTAAGCTATTGGACCAGTTTGGTCCACTTGCCTTTGAATTTCCCAATGTTCTCAAATGGCCTCTTATTGGTAGCCAGGCTTTGGCATGAAGGCGGGATACGTTAATTTTCCTTTGCAGAGAACTCAAGATTCGTAATACTCTAATATCCAGTGACCAGCCTTGTAATGTAAGGGCTCTCCTATTTCTCCTTGAGAAGTAGGCCATCTGCTGGATTAAGGTGACAATGTTGCCTGTCTCAAAATATCTCTTTGAAACTGACATATAGTGCGTGGCACTCAGGGCTGCTCCAGGGTTTTGGCTACCCCAAGCAGCCCAAAAAAAATAAAAAAAAAGCCGCGATGGCGATCTGCGGCGGCAATTCAGCGGGAGGTCCTTTGCTCCCAGTAGGAGTGAGGGACCGTCCGCCGAATACCTGGACGTGCCGCCCCTCTCCGGAGCGGCCGCCACAAGCACCTGCTTGCCAGGCTGGTGCCTGGAGCCGGCCCTGGTGGCACTGTTCCTTTAGATATATGCTGATTCCATGGTAGGAGTAGTTTGCAGTTGGATTAATGTCAAGGCTGCAAACTCTTTCCTGCTGTGAAACTGTATGCAGGCCTTCCTTCCCAGGAAATGGCCATATGGCAGTCTTCCAGGGTGCTACCCAGCTGGCATTATATGAAAGAAATATTTACTGAAGATATTTCACTTATGATCCGTGTAATTTAAAGACTAGGGAAGGAACCTAGACTGAAATACTGAATATGTATTCATTGCATTCAGCTATGAGTATTGCCACATGGTATATTACATGTGGCAGAATCTGACACTATAATGGAAACAAGACTGCTTATTTTTGTTCAGTTCTTTGGCTTTTATAACGTTTCCTCCAATGGTAAGGACTGAGGCCAAAATTTTCAAACTTGCGTGCCTAAAGTTAGGCTCCCAAATAAGTGTCTTGCTTTTTCAACACTTCGGAGCAGCTGAGCTCCCATTGAAGTCAGTGACAGCTGGGGTTCATGGCACCACTAAAAATCAGGTCACCTTCTATATTGGGGTTCTCAGACTGGGGGGTTGTGACCCCTCAGGAGGTCACAAGATGGTTACATGGGGGTCTCGAGTGGCCAGCTCCATGAGGCTGGCAGCCCCGAGCCCCCGTTAAATGAGATTACTTCCCTCTCATTTTTAATGTATACGTGGGGTCATACTCGGAGGCTTGCTGTGTGAAAGGGGTGGCCAATCAAAATAGTTTGAAAACCACTGTTCTAAATAGATGCCTAAATACGGATTTAGGAGTCTAACATTAGGTCAACTAGGTTTGAAAATTTTCTCACCTCCATCCCCTTATCATACATGGCAGATTTTTACTCGCTCTTTTTTTTGGCTTCTAACATCTTTTTCATCACTAATCTGCTGACAGTATATGTATGTGTATCTCTAACCCTGACAAGAATCAGATAATGAACAATTTCCCCCAAAGTCAACATATCTTAGCTAAGGATATGCACTTCTTGGTGGATTGCAATGGACTCTTTCCATAATGCTTGTGGCGTGGACATTGGGTAACGGAAATGAGTCCCAAATCCTTCTATATTTAGTTCTCCCACATGGCAACATGCTGAGAAGCCATCTTGTCTTTGGCAGTAAGACAGTAATTCCATCTATTACCTCTGTAGTAATACAGGCTGTTACCACCGTGACTAGAATGCATTGGAAGGCACAAGGCTGAAAAGCTTAATCTGAGTGTATGGAATGTAGTGGTGATAGGCAATGCAACTGCACTTGAGAGCCCTCTTTTGCTTCTTGTAAAATGGCTTGGTTACCACCACCCATTATCTCCGAGAAGGGGCGCTTTAGATGTTTTCAGGGGGTTCTCGAGAGCCCAGTCGGTGACAAGCATCATTAATATGACTAAGGACTGGAGTAGTTTGTGACCAACTAGATTTTAACTATCAGAGGGGGTAGCCGTGTTAGTCTGGATCTGTAAAAAGCAACAGAGTGTCCTGTGGCACCTTTAAGACTAACAGATGTATTGGAGCATAAGCTCCGACGAAGTGGGCATTCACCCACGAAAGCTTATGCTCCAATACATCTGTTAGTCTTAAAAGTGCCACAGGACTCTCTGTAGATTTTAACTGTGTAAATTCCATTCCATGCAACTGGATTAAAAAATTATAAGGTTAAATATTTTCAGAAGACTAAAAAGTTGTGGGGGAGGAAGAGGGGAAGACTGGCAGAAATTCGTGGGAACAAGTCTCTGATCCTAGCTGCTGCTTTGTATAAATTATTTGGACAGTGGTATTAAGTTCATGCATATCGTTGCTGCCTTGCTCCAAAAGTCAAACCTGTGACAGACACGAGACAGTAGTAAATCCTGCTGTTCCTCCTGCCTGAATTTTTTTTGTTCACAGCTAGTTCACAGTTCATAGTTTGAGTCTAGTGCAACTGGCTCGGTGTTTGTACTCTGAAAAATGACTGACAGAATAACATCTTGGTGTTCACATTGACTCCATATCCAGTGTGCTCCGTTTACAAGTCTGGTGATGGCTCTTCCCTAGTCCAGTCCCTCAAATGTGGCCTGGAATTTGAGAACTGAATTGTTCTCTCTTCTGGATGGAGCCTCATCAGCAGCAATGGATTCTGAAATCAGAACTCAGTTAAGAATTCTGTTGATTTCACAGACCTAAACAAATAAGTAAACAAAATATCTAGGTTGCTCTTCTGCATTCCCATTGCATTTGGTCTCCAGTGCTAACAAGAATAAAAAGGAATAAAATATGGTTTAGTGAGAAGAGTCAGCATACAGAATTTACACAGTCAGAATACCTACAGAGGCAGATCTGTGGAGTAAGCAGATGCCATTTTAACATTGTCACTTTTTAGTCGATAATTGCATTGTAAAGTTCTCCAGCTGGTGCAAAACATCTTGAGGCATTTTGGAGTCCAAGGCACTTGCTGAGCTACAGCTGCTAATAATGGGTTATCACTGAAACTTGAAGGTGTTTTGGGCAGGAGAGAGCAGAAGACTGGAGAAATTGGAGGAGAAAGGTTGCTCTTTTCTCTCTTTTCTGTGAAAATATATACCACTTGAAAAACCCCACCATCTGGGGCTATTAGTGCCTTCACATTGTTGCTTAGGACACCGTATCCCGCTGTGGGTCACTTGAGTCTTTTGGACAAGAGTGTTCCGTTACAAACCTAAACCCCATTCATTATCTATTAATTCTTTGTTTTTGACTCTAAAAGAACATTTTCTAGGGTCTATTTCCATGAAACTGGAACTAGTTCCTTGAAAGTTTGCAAGGTTAATGTCAAACTTTTTTTTCAGGGTAACTGTTGTCCCAAGGAAATAGCGTTTTTCTTAGGTGATTAGAACTGGATAATTACATAGTCTTTCTCGGGGAATTTCTGCACATGGTCAGTTACAAACTAAAGCTTTAAAAACTCAGTATTGCAGTTAACACAGACCTATGGTACTTCATAGTTTGCAAATGTAAATATCCCCATGTGGATCCAAATTCAGAAGAGTATCCAGGTATATAGGACATAACATTTGAGGAGCCACTTAGAAAAAAGTGCCTGAGTGTTCTTCCCAGAGTATCTTTGTATTGAGTTCTGTGTCCTCAAATGCCTCCCACCTGTTGTCTTACCATTTCCCTAATAGGAAAGGGTTCATTCACTGATATGTGTACATCAGGAGAGGAGTTGTGTGCAAACTTGCAAAGCTGGCTGGGGAAAAGAAGATGCCAAATTCACACGTCTAATTTTCAGTATGGGGAAAGGCTTAGCTTTTTCTGGTTTGGTGTGGATTGATGACAGAGCAATTCACCTGCTCTTCCCTTCTGCCAGAAAGAGCTTGCTCTAGCCATAGGGGAAAATTCTTTCCAATGCCTGAGCCTTGGTGTAAAGTGAAAGAAAACATGCAGACTCTCAAGGTATGGCAGGGGTGTAGGTCAATGTTATACAGTGTGTAATCTTTCCTGCTCCCACCTCCAGGGGAGTTAAACAAGTTTCCATGGAGTCCAACCGGAGCCATTTGTAGTCCCCAAATCCCTGCTGGACTGTAGTGGTGTTTTGGCATCCATACAGCAAGTGGTCTGCTCCAGAGTTGCCTTAATGAACACTGGTGTAAATGTGGTTAAAGATGAGGGTAAAACTAGGGTTCACTTTTATTTTGCAAAACCTTGTTTGTCTGGCTTTGGCTTTTTAAAATCAAGAGAGGATTGGATCATAGCGTTCTTTATCCAGCCTTCCCAACACTTTTTGGTATGGGAGGTCCGAGGGCTGGGAATGGAGAACAGGGAATCCAGATGAGAGAATCGTAGGACTGGAAGGGACCTTGCGAGATCATCTAGTCTAGTCCCCTGCACTT